CGTAAGGCATTTTTCCTCCAGAGTGTGACTAATTTTCTATATGCACATGTGTGAAAGTAACAAAATAATGGGTGCTCTTCCTAGTAGGAAGAAGATTCTTCAAGAAATATTATTACTGAGATTTTGTAATTAACTCCAATTCATTATACCAGATCACTGTACAGTTAATGCTGTCATTACCATTTTTAATGCTTTAGCATATTCATTTTCCATTATTACTAGAGTATTTGAGTATCAACTAGCTCTAGGAAATGCTTTATCAAAATCTTTTTGCACCCTTACATTTGAATCAGTTTATAAACCTTCCTGAGATAGAAAAATAATTTAGAAGCTCACACTTTATTCATGCAGAAGAATGACAATATACTCATCAAATTATTATTACAACTAGCAGATTTTAATAATAATAATTTCAATAAAGTTTTAATTTTCCTTCACATTAAATATATGTATGTATGTATGTATGTATGTATGTATGTATGTATATATATATATATATAAAAACCCAGGTGATTTGGGGGCCAGGGAACAGATGAATTTGCTTGACTATTTAAATTTGATGAAGCTTAAACATTTTTAATTTGGCGTTTGACCATGTTCCTGGATAAATACAATTCAATATACGACAATATCCAAATGCCAGATTATCATTATTCTTTTGATACCAGGCTCTCAAAAATAAAATCATGTGAATAACGAGAAAGCGTTAGAATTATGGCATGCCATAATATAAGTATCCTGATATCCATGTTTTGAAAGATATCATAATCCTTATAAAATTATCCATTAAGATTAAAGAGAATTTGGCTCCTCTATTCCCACAACTAGCTCATATGGAAAAGAGATCAATCTCCAACTTGTATATGTAACATCTTTAACATTTGCTCTCTTTCTGTGCTTGTGATTAAATGTAACATTTTAAAATCCCAAAGTTCTAAGAAAAGCATAAATCCTTGTCTCACAGCTGCTGTTTGACTCTGGAAGCTTAGGCAAGCCTTAACCATCAAGAAATCCCAACAGACTGAGCTGGAGAACACCTGTATCTCTTCATTTAGCTCCAATAACAAAGCATAAACGTCAGCATTACAAAAATAGATGCCATGTTCAGCTGCAGCTACATTTTGCTCCTAATTCCCGTGAATAAAAATGCTAAGAGCATGAAATCATTGAAGCAAGTTCTGTCATCAGAGGGATAAGAAATTTTTTTCTTTCTTTTTTGGGGGAGAAATCCAGTGGGAACATGATAGAAAACCAGCAACAATTACACATAAAGTATGAAGTGAAATCCTCAGGGAGAGAAGAGGAAGTGTAACAGGATAGATGAGTATAATTTCTATGCTTTATGCCCAAACCATAAATGTGAATTTTCTTTAATTAAAAATTCTTCAAGATAAACTATTTTTAAAATTGTATGTGTGTTTGCTTGCGTGTGCGTTATGTACTAGTGATATAAAATCATTCCTTTGCGGACCAAACTCTATTTGAATTAATTACATCTTTGACCAAAAGTTGAATAGAAAAAAATGACAATTTCATTTTATCCAAACTTCAATACTAAGGGGGAAAAAGATTGAGGCAACCATCCTGAATTTTATGCCCATCTCTTCCTTTCCAATTAACCCCACTGAACAAAATTAACCTCTGCAACATATGGTGGTATCAAATAACATTGTTGCTGTTGTAATTTATGTTTCAGCAGATTTTAGTAAGAGTTGGCCTTTACTGGGTATAATGAAGGAAATATATAGTACTGTTCTTAAATCTATAATATTATAGATTTCACCTTATAGTCACTATTTTTATATATTCTATGCAAATTTATAGAGGTGCAAACAAATTTATATGACCCACGGATTAAAAAAACATATAACCTTCATCATGAAAGAATAATAAAATCATTTTTATAACAAGACCCCCTACTAGAACAGGCATCTTGTAATCCTCTAAATTTTACTTCTAAGCGCCCCTCAGCATTGGTCATGGTTGCTGGGGCTGCTGCCAGCAACATTTTGTTCCCTACAGCTGTTCTGGGCAGATTGGAGGGGGGTTCTTTTTGAGGGATGAAAAATGGGATTGAGACGTTATAAAATGAGTCAGTAAGAAAAAGGACAGTCTTTGCTAAGTTTTCAATTTGTTTGTTTTTTTCTAATTGACTTATGCCTTTATTATAAAATTCTTTCTGGAGATGAAACATTTTTTTAAAAATTTGTAGAATTTTGTTTATATTATTTCTGGTTTATTTTTATTTTGAAAGAATAGAGGTCAAGCCAATTTTGAAATATGAATTATATAGGCAGTCCTTGAGTTATAACCTTTGTTTAATGAAGGTCTAGAATTACAATGGCCTCAGCAAGGATGCTTTGTGGCCCATAAACATTTCCCACTGTCACAAAATACTGCACCACACCACTGCAGTCACAGGATCGTAATCTGGGTACTTGGCAATCTGTGGGTACTTACAAAGTCAATGGGGAAACAAGCAGCTGCTACCACCTGCAGAGAGACTGTAACTTTGTTGCTTATATCTTTTATTTATACTGATATTGTTTCCTGATTGCTTACTTGTACCATATGACTATCATTAAGTGTTGTACTTTATAATTCTAGACGAATGTATCTTGTATTTTTATGTACACTGAGACCATATGTCCAATCACACTTGGCCACAAAGAATTCTGTTCTGTTCTGTTCTCTGGGGACTAGCTGAGAGGACTCTCTCATGAGGAAAGCTAAACACAACCTGAACACCTTCGATAGGTAGTTCTTTCAACCAGCCCCCACAAAGAACAGGAAGCGAAATCCAAGCAGATAGCCAGCTCAGTAAGGTATAGAATGCAGGGAACCTTAAATGGATGGAGAAGGCCTTGCTAGGCCTGGTGCAGGTCGGCACATATGTGTCTCTTCGCTCAGGGGCTAAAAATCTTGCTTGGATTTTGGCAGGGAGGATTTTCAGCTCTTGACCAGATCCTTCCAGGGTCTCTCCCACCACTGAAGCATCCCATACTCCTTACCTGGGGATACATCCCCTTAATAACTCTGGTGGCACAGTGGTTAGAATGCAGTATTGCAAGCAGAGGTGGCATTCAGCAGGTTCTGATCAGTTCTGGGGCGGAAATTTTGAGTAGTTCGGAGAACCAGTAAATACCACCTCTGACTGGCCCCACCCCCATCTATTATCTGCTTCCCGAGTTCCAGCTGATTAGGAGGAAATGGAGATTTTACAGTATCCTTCCCCTGCCATGCCATGCCCACCAAGCCACGGCCACAGAACCGGTAGTAAAAAAGTTTGAATCCCATCACTGATTGCAAGCCCACTCTGCTCATAGCCTGTAGTTAGATCCTGATGGGCCTTAAGGTTGACTCAGCCTTCCACGCTTGTGAAGTCAGTAAAATGAGGACCCATATTGTTGGGAGCAATACGCTGACATTATAAACTACCCAGAGAGTGTTGTAAAGTGCTATAGAATGGTTAATGCTATAAGACTAAATGCTATTGCTATTGATAACCCACATAATCACTTAGTGACAAATGGGAGTGAAGGATTACGGACATTGAGTGAAGCCCTCAAATGATGTCTCGCTTAATGACTTCTTCATTCAGTGACCAGTATTCCAGCCCCAATTGTATCATAAATCAAGGATTACCTGAAGAAGCATGTGGAATAAGTGTAACTGTCTTTAAACCACACCTGATGTTTAAATGAATTGACAAGAACCCAAATCTTTTTCTTGTATTTCTTCCCTGAACTGATAAATTGTTCTCTACAAAAATAGTGGAAACAGCTTTCAATATCCAATATTTGACAACATAATGAACTACAAACAAAATACATGTGGCCCTAGTTATCTGTGGTCCCATTACCCACTGTTTTGTGAGTTGGTGGTTAGTATATACAGAGCAGATCATTATCTATGGTAAAGGGTTTTAAATATCCATGATTTTTTGGTGTAAGGTTCTGTTTGGAGGAGAATTTTTAAAATGTTTTTATATATTTTGCACACGAGCAAAATGGCAAACAGACCTTTGCATTATTTATGAAGTATATCTTTTCAACATCCCATTATCTATGGTTTCATTATCCATGATTGTTCAACTTTAACAAAACCCCAGCAAATAAAGAGAGCCACCTATATAATGAACATGAAACTTAACTAAATTCTGATTTATTCCAGCAAACTAAAATTCTTATATTCCATCCATCATATTCTGCATTGGTTCACTTCCAATATGAGTATTCTATGGCATTTTCTCTTTATGATATCATAAGGAAAAGGGGTCAACTGTTTCTTCAAATTCCCAATTTCTTAAAGTTTATGTCACCATAGTAACAGAGTGAGCAATCTTTTTCAAAATTTGTTCATCATTCTGAACATTCCGAAGAATATTTAATTCTTTTAAATTAGTGTTTTTCAAACTTGGCAACACTTAAGATTTAACCAGCCAGCTGATTTAAGTTAAAAAAATTTATGAAAACCAATTAAGTTTAGATATCAGCCAACATATCACAAAGGGATACTTACTTCTGGTATATTCCATACCAAAAATATTAATAATAGCAATAACAATCTATCATAGCAATAGCAATAGCAGTTAGACTTATATACCGCTTCATAGGGCTTTCAGCCCTCTCTAAGCGGTTTAGAGAGTCAGCATATTGCCCCCAACAATCCGGGTCCTCATTTTACCCACCTCGGAAGGATGGAAGGCTGAGTCAACCCTGAGCCGGTGAGATTTGAACAGCTGAACTGCAGAACTGCAGTCAGCTGAAGTAGCCTGCAGTGCTGCATTTAACCACTGCGCCACCTCATGGACTTAATAAATAAATAGCACAGTTAGAAAGATGGATGCAATAAGTTGGTCAACTGAAAATAAACCCTCAACTTTTCCATTGAGATTGTAATGGATTTCGGTTTCTGAAACACATCTGTTTTTCTTGAAGCTCTCTTACATGCTCAGAAAATTTTTCCATCTCCATTTTTTGCAAGAATTTGACACTTACCAGAACTGTAGCTGTAATCCTTACACTGAGGGATCTGAATGGTGAAAGCTAACCAATCTGGAGCAAAGAGTGATTCTGGCTTTCTGCTTTCCTTGAGCCATTTGCTGTTGTGTAGGTCTCTGGTATCGGATGGACCTTGTATTAAAGGGATACGTTTCTCTTTTCCACCTTCACCTGGGTAGATGTTTTAAAAAATATTAGAGATGCATTAGAGATGCAAAGAAGAGATGTTGAACGGAATATAATAGCATCATGTATTACAATTTTAAAAACCAGATAGCATAACTTTTTTCTATTAGTAATACCGAAATAAAGCATTTGACATAAGCATTTGTTATGTGTTAAACATCTATGGAGATTCTCAGTCATCCAAGTCATGGTTGTCCCAAAGCTGCTTTTTCAAGAGGCAACTGGACTTTTTCTTTGAAGACATTTCACTTCTCATCCAAGAAAGTTCTTCAGCTCTGACTGGATGGTGGCAAATGGAAGGATTTATACTCCTTGCAGACAGGTGGTCATTTACATTCTTTTAGAGAGTCATTGAGGCCACCTGGAGGTTTATCTGTGACATCAGGGTCAACCGAGTAGTGCAAATGGATGTGGAACCTTCTTGGAATTGTTGAAAAGACTGTGTTTGTAGACTGGAGATAGATGAGGTCATATTCTTCCCCCTCTGTTGAGAGAGGACTGTTCAATTTTGACATAGCTGACTTCCTTGATTCCTTTTTCAAGCCAGCGGTCCTCTCTGTCCAAAATGTATACTTTGTTATCTTCAAAAGAGTGGTCTTTGTCTTTTAAATGCTGAATAAGTATAATCTTTATTGTCATTGTACTTAAATCCAACGAAATTGATTTTGTCTTGATGGATTGCTGAATCTTGTCTTGATAGGTTTGGTCTTCTATGTTGTGCCATGTGTTTATGAAGTGGTTGTTTTGTTTCCCCAACTGAACTTGCAGGTGAAAGTAAGTTCATTATAGATGTAATTTTAATTTTTTATGCTTAACTTTTGCACACTAAAACTTTGTGTAACCACCGAGGTACAATTCATTAGCAGTGATAGAAGTATTCTGATTGCAATGCTTCATCATCCAAATTTATTTTCAAAAGTAGAAATTAAGAAATAGATTTGATTCATAGCAACAATAACACATTCTTGTTTCAATAATCCTCCTTGTGAAAAGCAAGACAAACTCTTCTAAATGGGGCCATCAACTTTTATATGGTCCAGCTGCACATACCTGGGGCTTTGGCACAAATTTTTATTGATCCGATGGTTCCAGAGGCACATTTGACCAGCAATGTACTGCAGTACTTCAATTCAACATTTTGGATTGAACCCTCAAGACTCGGTTGAGGATTCTTAGTTTTCACACCTAATAAAAAGAAAAATGAAAATGTACTAGCCTGTGAATTCAACTTATTTATATTTTTCATCAAGACATTTAAATATTACAATTGTTTATTTTCAATACACTCAGTTAACACAATAAAATTCAAAACATAGCACTGTAAGTTAGCTGGATACATATACTTGCAGTTAACTTTGTGCTAATGTTAGACTTCTGTAAGATTTGTTTCTATAGCTACATATGTGTATAATTTCCCAGAGTTAAATCAATTAAAATAATAGATTACTCCTTGAAACCATTCAAATCAGTTACAAAATATAAATTAAATGTATGCAGCTGGGTAGCACAGCATGTAACAGAAGTTGTCATCCTTTTACGAAAACAATGTTGAAATTACTTGAGGTCAAAAGTGAAAATAGGTTTGGTGGTCTCTTTTTTTCCTCCCTGCACGTCCAAGGAAGCCATTTGCCACAAGTTTAAAACTTACTGGCAGCTATTCCTGAAGAGGGACCTGAACTGTAACAGTGGGAGGTGTAACAGGTCAGAAGCATGGAACTCTGGCACAGTTGTACAAGGAAAGATCCGTAAACACCCACCCACATTACATTGGGCTGTGGCCATTCATATTATTTTATCTTTTCTATGTTCAAAACTACCCTTATTCACTGTATTTGCAAAAAATTGTTTCGGCACATGTTTTTAAAAAGTAAATAAATGTTTAAAAAAAATTAATGGACCCCAATTCTTAATTAGAAGAAATATTTTTTTAAAGAAACGGTCAACTTTGAAACAGAACCTTCTTTGTTGCGTCTCATAGTTACAGTTGGCTCAGCAATCTTCGGTATAAAATGCAGTTCCGTAAAGAAAAAAAAGCCTAACCGTGTCATAATTATTATTCTAAGTAATTTTTATAATTCTTAGGATTCTCATGTTACTTTATTCAGTCTCACACAAGCATTTTTTTTTATTTTCAGAAAATATATATTCCAAATAAAATTGGGAAGAGGTCTAGAAAAAATTTGCATTTGCATACCTATATCTTCACTGATTCTTAAACATTGATAAAATTCATAAGAGTGCAATCTTATTTTCAAAGGTATGAATAAACATGGAAATTCTTTTTAAAACATTACTTTTCTTTTTTTCTATATAAAACACTTTTTTCCGTAACATTACTTTGAAAAAATAAGGGGGCTTTCACATCTCAATGATACTTTGAACTATACCAGTTTTTCTCCGCCTCCAACAACTTTAAGAAATATGAACTTCAACTCCCAGAATTCCCCAGCTGGCATAGACAAGTACTTAGACCAAACACAATATACTGAAGAAAATGGCATCCCACTCAAATATTCTGCCAAGCAAATAAATAGCCATTTACAACCAGAACAATGTCAACCTGATATTGGAAGATGAGCTCCTCCAGTTGGAAGAGGAAGAACAAAGAGTAAGAACGAACAGCATTTAGTTTTCTGCTGTGACTCAGGCAGGATGAGCATGCTTCAGATCCTGTTAGCAAAAAAATGCCATCGGAAGGGGCCTAGAAGACTTTCTGCCATAATGCCCACCTTCTGGAACATTCTCCCACGGGAGATCAGGATGTCACCAATCCTACTGGCTTTCAAAAAGAGCTGGTTCTTTGCCTGGACCTGGGGCCCCAAGTAGGTGCAAGATACAGTTTAGTGGTTAATTTAGTCATTATGGTGGGTGCTTTATTCTCAGCTGCTGTGTATTTTAATGGTTCTATTATTTTAATTGTTTTTTTTTTTTAAATGTTCACTGCCCAGAATTACTTTATTGAGATGGGTGGACATAGAAATTAAATAAATAAATAAAATTCCCCTCAATTAAATAAATTGTTCTCATTTGTAAATAAATAAATTGTTCCCAGCTTCAGGAGGCAGTTAAGATATTCTGAACTAATTTTGGTGTAGTCTTTAAAGGTAGCTCCACATAAATTACTCTGCAGCAGTCTATGCAGGTGGTGGTGAGAGCATGAGTTACTATCCCTAGATCCTCTTGTAGCAGGTAAGGATACAATTGATGCACCAGTTTGGGGCAGAGTATAGTCTAGATAGCATCCTATAAACCTTTGCGGAGTACACAGGCCAAAAAGAATCCTAGATAATACAGCTAGATGATTCTCTGATGACCACTATAGACTCTATAGACCACTATAGAATCAAAGCAGAGTCAAGCTTGCAGAGAATTTACTTTTGAAAAATGGCAATCTCTCCTAAAACAAATAACATTATTTTTTCGTTCACAAAATAGCAGCTGCCATGAGTACCTTTAAAAAAAATCTGGCATCTTCTTGATTCACCAATATCAATTAAATTATTTCATTAGTTAATTATCTCATTTTCTCTACAATTTTAGACAATGTATTAGTAATTGGGAACACAGTATATTCTACTATCACCACAAGTATAAATAATTAATATGATACAATTCACTTCCAGGAATTCCTTGTTCATTAAAAAAAAAAACTACTCAGTTTGGCTTTTAAATTTTCAGCTCCAATTACTATTGATAAAATATATAATAAAAGTCCCTCCAGATTAAAGATGTTATATGAGGCTCAAATGTATTTGTTCTATTTGTGGAAAAAAAACCTGAAGTTTTACTATACTACAAAATACTGCATAACAGATGTGGCTAGGAAGAATCCCTTTATAATTTAACAAAACTATACTACTGCCAACTACATTTTAAACAAAAAGATGTACACTACTGATCTCTTTCCTTTCATCTTACCACCTGTTTCTGTAAATTTATTACATTCGTTGTTTCCTATTTTAGCAAACCACATAATGGCACAAAGGAAAATATGTCAACCTTGGAATTATTTGCAGTTTTTTCTGTCTGTCTCATGCAAGACCTGCAGTATGTTAAAAATACAGACTGGGTCTTTTTTGTCTGACAATCACCAAACTGCACAAATTACTCTCTTCCTATTCACCTGTTTGCAGCTGAATTGCCAAGCTGGGGCTGACTTTAGCAAGTCCTACAGGATTGATGACATATGCTGCTGATAAACCAAACAATATGAAGATATTACAGGCCAACATCTTTGAAAGATCTATGTGCCAGAGTCAAATTTCAACTATATACCGTATGTGCGGTACGTAGAAAGTATAACATTTTTGAAATGAAAAATCTTTCAGAAGTGCTAAATCTATCATTAAATAAATGACAGGCTGTAGCATAACTTCACAAAGGAGATCCAAAATTCTATTTAAATCAGGTATTTGAAAACTGTAAATGGTCTTGGTCAAAAAAATAATGCTAAATAAATGTTAGCATCATTTTCTTACTTGATTTTATTTTAAAGGTAATCCTCAGTTACCAACTACTTTGTTCAGCAACTGTAATGGTAATGTTGAAAAAAGAGATTTACAATCAGTCCTTGAACTTGTTTGTGGTTGTTGTAACATACCTGCAGTCACTATTGTGATTTGGGTGTTTAGCAATCAATGTGCATCTATAACAGTCACAGACTGCTGTGGTCACATGATCACCATTTACGACCTTCGCGGTCCACTTCCAACAAGCAAAGTCAATAGAAAAGCCGGCAGGAGGTCATAAGTTGTAGTAGTTGATGTTTCACTAAACGACCATGTATGATTCTCTTAACAACTGCAGCTGGAATTGATGTTGTAAGTCTGCTGCAGTCAAATTATGCTTTTCTTTAAGATCAAGTCACTTAGCAACAGAGTTGCCAGTACAAATTTGTGTTCAATAAGTGAGGCCTACCTCTACAAAATTTTGTGCATACTTGTGAAAAATTACCATGCATACACAACTGCAGACATTGTTGGAACTTATGCCAATTAATTGATACACAAGTACAATGACACCAGAGTTGGGAAAACCTTTCAAAATTGTCATAACATTTCAGTAAGAAAGACTGAAAGAAATACGATACGTAAGCATTAGCAATTTATGTAATATACCTATCCAAAGTTCTTTTTTATAAATATATCAATCTAATAATCATGTTCTGATTATGTCATGAAAATATGCATCCTTCAAAGCCCCACACTGAAATAAAATGTAAAGAATAAGAGCTCAGGAGTTGGAACAAGCATTAAACCACCTCAAATTTAATAAGACGGCACATTTAATGTAGCAGAACACATTTCATTTTCACATTTTAGAGCTCATAAAATGAATTCAGCAAAGGATGCCGAGCTATAAGAAAAAGGCTGTATAAATAAAGTAAATAGGAAAAAAGCTACATACAAAAATAAATCCTTACAATATTATTCACTTAATATATTAAAATATGTATTCATTAAAATATTTACCGTTCTCATTCAATATTTTTAAACTGATGTTTATTTTAAAAGATTTTAGTCATGAGAACTCTATAATTCCATAATGAGAACTTCATAATTCTGACAACAAGGATGTATACAAGATTTTTTTTTTTATTTGGTATGAAGTCAGTTGGCAGTTTTACATTCATGCAATGCCACGTAAACTCCAGCTGGCATCTCATGCTCTCAGAGATTCAAACTTCAAACCCAGAAACATCCTTATTTGCAGCATTGCCAGGATAATTTTGTCTACCATTCACACCACTATTATTGTCAGGCAGTCTCTGCAGGTGTGCATGTACATAAATATACAGCTGTAACCAAGCAAGCCAAGTGAAATGCATAATGAAAACCTCAGCAGCTGTTTAAAATCCAGAGAGAACAATATGAGTTAGTATTTTTGGAAAAGCAAGGATGGCAAATTTATGATTATCCTAGCCTTCCAAAATAGCTTCTGGGTTGTGTCATTTTTATGTCATGTCTATTTATTAAAAAAATCACACTTTTTAATACTAGGAAAATAGTGATTGTTTTGTAACACGAAAGTAGCTTCACATGTAAAATAAGTTTTATTACATGCAAAATGCTAAAGATTATTTCATGCTGGAGCAGATCATTATTGATCAAATTTATTGGCTGCCCCTCTTACCACAAGTAACTCATTAAGTGTACTAATTATAGCACCACAAATTATAAATTGTT